GTGACAACAGGTATATAATAATATGTACAAGAATATATCAAGAGAAATATTGACAGAAAGTAAAGTTAGTTGTTAGTTTTGTTAGTGAATTGAATCGGGACAGAATGTATCGCTAAACCGTCGTAGTTCGACTTATGATGGAAGTCGGACTATAGGAGGTCACATAAATCGATATTCGTGTTGTGGACAAGATAGAAAAATGATATTGAGGATCATTCTCCGATTTAATCGTGTTGCACAGACCAAAAAGGTGGGATCTCGTCTTAATCGTAAACATTATGTCGATTAACCGAAGGTAGTCTATCACGATCCCAAAATAAAGAAAATGACCCAAATGATCATTTTCTATAGATTTGAAACCGAGAAGGTTATTGACTTCAATAAAACGACGCTTACGAATTGAAAGACTTCATAGATCGAGAAAATCTTAATAAAATCGAAAATGAAGAAGAAAGGAGGAGAGAAAGAAGTTGGTCTCAGATCCATCATTATTTATCAATAATTTGACTAGTAACGATTTTTCGGAGGTCTCGTCATCGAACAAAACAAAATAATAATGAAGAGAAATAAAAAAAGAAATTAATTGAGTAAATATGTTCAAAGCTAGCAATCTAAAAATTTAGAAAAGAAAATGTTGAAAACTTTTAGAACAAATCATTAACAATTTAGACAATCAAAATAATAAAAAATCTAAAAAAACTATTTCCATTTAGAATAAATATTATAAAGTCCTTAAAACTAATTTCTAAAAAGAAAAAATATATTAACAATCTAAAAAAACTAATTAGAAAACAATATATTACATTTTTTTTAAAAAGAAGGGGGTGAAATGGATGAATGGGGATTCTGAAAAACTATATCAAACTCTGGGATCACGTGGGCTCATCAAAGGCCCGTCACCCAAACTCATCCTCAAAAAATAGCAGCAAGCCAACTGAATGATAAAACACGGCGGTCATCCATGCCAATATTACATTTCCTCTTCTCAAGACCAGACTCGCCATTTTTCAAAGCTTAAATCGAAAAACTACTTCTTCAAATCCAACGCTTCTCTTCGTTGAACTCAAACTTCTCCACTTCTATTTCTCATCTTTATTTATTTCTTTTCTGAATTTATTGTCTATTTAAATCCAGACTGGATCTGTGGGTTAAATGGATGAAGAAGATTTGGAAATGGGTTTGTGGTTTATGTTGTGGTTGGCTGTTGATTTGAAGTTTGGGTTTCACGGTGTTAGGTCTTGTTGGTGAGGGAAGGAAGGTGTTGGTGGTGGTTTTGATCGGAAACGAATGGGTTTGCGTCACGGTTGGTGTTGCAGCGGAAATCTGGGAGAGATGGAGATTGGTGATGAAGGGTTGCATTTTGTGTTGTTGTTCTGGTGCGAGAGGTTTTGGCTAGTTGAAGAGTGTTGCAGTGAAGAAGAGTTGTTGAGATTTCCGACGGCTAGGGTTTGAAAAATTTTGTTGAAGAAGAAAGTGAACAGTGACCTGAGGGCTGTCTAGGGTTTCAGATTGTTGGAGACAATAAATAGTAAATTGGCCTTTATATGCTGAACACGTGTTGTCCTCTGCTGCTGCTTTTTTTGTCCCTTTTTTTGTTTAATTTCTGATTAATATTAATGAATTAACTCTAAACAAAATCCTAATTAATTTCTAACTATAATTCTATTCTAACTTAATTCTAACCCTAGTTCTAACTATTAATAATCTTAATTAATTTCTAACTATTAATTCTAAATTAAAAGCTAATTAATTCTAATTAATACATCTATATAAAGTTCTAATCTAATTATTAATTAAAATTCTAATTAATAACTAATCTAAAAAATCTAATTCTACTCTAATATTAAAAATATATTCTAATCTAATTTTTAACTAATTAAGTTCTAATCTTATTTCTAATTTAAATTAAAACTAAATAATTACAATTCTAACCTAATTAAAAATCTAATTCTAATCTAATTATTAATTCAAATAAATACTAATTCTACCTTAATTAAAATTCTATTCTAAACCATTTTATAAATCTAAAATCTATCTAAATTAATCCTATTTAAAAAATCTAACCTAATTTTTAATTAAAATTCTAATTAAATCCTAATAAAAATTCTAAATTCTAATTAATATCTATTTCTAATTAAAACTCTAACAAGAATTCTAAGTAATTTCTAAACAAATAAAATAAACCTAAATTAACAAACGACATAAAAAACGAAAAAAGAGGCGAACACCGAAACACACCAAAAATATCAGCATAGACTAAATTACCAGGAAAAGCACGACCTTCGCTCAATTTCGAAATAAATCTTATCCGTCGAAACGGTTTAAACTGTCCAAAATGCGAACAAAGCGGCTGTAATTCCGATAAATCCATTCCAGCTGATAACATGGTCAGTATGTGAGAAATGATCAACATAAATGATATGCAGATGAATGCGAAGTAAAAGCCAATCAAAGTTAGGAAACGTGAGGGCAAATTTTGGGGGTGCAACACCTAAGAGCATATAAAAATGAAAAAAACATTCAGACTCCTGCAATTCAGATGAATAGAGTATTCCATAAGAGTAGTAAAAACACACACATTAGCAGAGTAAAATGTTTGCTTATATAAACTACTCAACACAAATACATCAAATAAAAAACCATGAACAAATGTAATAGTAGTAGGTAGATACACAAATATAATTTTTTTTTAAAAAAGATTAAAATTCAAATATTAAACCTGTCAATCCACTCCATTATGTTAGGTAGAAAAATTTGAATAAACCTGTCAATCTACTTCATCATGTTAGGTAGAAAAAATTGAAAGAGATCCAATACAGAGCTTAACTATTAATACATTTTGGCTTTATCTTAAGAATTTATACTCAATAACAAAGAGTCAATTACTTACTTGAAAGAACATAAGTTGGAGAATTGTACTTAGAATCTGCATTCTCTTTATTTCTTGTACTACTTGTTTTCTCTCATACCATAGTGCTTTTTATGGTTCAATCTAAGAATTAGAAGTTCCACCTTCCATCATTTGATCAAGGATATACCATTTAAATGATCTAAGAGAACCCGTATTTTTCACTGCACTGGACAAATCTTAACCGTAAATAATCCAAAGTGACTAAATATGCAGCATCACCATTTTCATGGAAAAATAAAAAAAAAAAGTTAATTTATTATCATAATTTAAGAAAAAAGTAATAAAAAGAAAGAGAAACAGGTCTTATAAACACGTTGATTGTTAGTGGGAGAATTGAGCTGTAGACATTTTAACATTAAGAAAAAACTGAAGTGTCGTTTCAAAAACACCATAAACAACAATGATTTTGCAAGCGAGAAGAGCAGGCTTAGGCCATAAATCAACAAAACCTTAAAAACCGTTATTGATAAAGTAATCAAAAATGTTCAAATCTAAATCAAAGATGGTGTACCTAACGGAGGAAGGTGTGCAAACTGGTCGCACGGTTGTCAGCGGATCTGGAATATGGCGGCGACGATGAAGGCATCATAGGTGTGCAGATCCGGTGGTGGTGTTTGCGTTTCCGTCAAAAAAATCCGTCGAGGCAAGTGTTCTCCCCTTTTCTAATTTCGAAATCCGCATCTTCTTGTTCTGGTTCGTGTTCTTCTTCTTCTATTGTTGTTAGATTCTATTGTGTCGGCTTCTAATTTTTTTGATCCAACTTTCTTTCTCTTTTTATTTTGATCTTTGCAATTGTTGTGTTTGCAGTGACTTGAAGATTGTGGTGTTTCAGGTTTGAGAGTTTGATGTTCTTGTTATTCGATGTTGGATTGATGATTATGAGTGAATACCATTGAGCATTGATGTTTAAGGTCGATTTCGTTTTTGCAAATTGGAGATGAGACAGATGTTGTTGAGTTGCTTTTGTGGAGTTGAGTTGAACATGAAAAGAGATGAAAAAGCATGTAAAAGAGAGAACTTTAACATGGCTGCAATGTTAATTGATTAGAAGCATAAAAAATTGTGAGACTTTTCATTCTTCAAGTAATTGCAAATCAATATGTTATATTTTTCACATATATTTTATATTCTCAATGGCTGCTCATTAACCAAACATATTAAAAATTAACAAAAATAAAATACAAATAATTGAGAGAGTGACACATCAGACGCAATAAATGTCAAATGCATAATATTACAGAAGGATATAATTAATATTTAGTGAAAAAAAATTTTAATAATTAGATATTAGATATATCTATTTATCGATTTAATGACAAAATTTAGAATACAACCCTATCAATAATATTTATATTTTCATTGTTATCTCCTCTTTTTTCTAAATATTTTATGCAACATAGTATTTATTAAATTATAAATATATTATATTATATTTATGACATTTTTATTATCAATAATTATTCAATAGAACATTTCCGCGCATCTCTTCTCATGTGTACACGACAGGTGTATTTGTAATGCGTAACTCTTTAAATAAATTATTTTATATTTAAATTTTCAAATTCATACTAAAATATTATTTTTAAAAATACTCTTGTAGTCAACGATGTATGGGTTCATTTCACATTAACTCCTAATAATGTCATTGTAAAAGTAGTACTTTTAATTTAGCGGTTGAATGAACGTGGACAAATCAGATATCATGTGAGGTAGTACGCCGAAAGCGAATAAACAGGCACATCGTTACTCCCACGTCAGTCTCATTCGAAAGATACGCCATAATTGCCGAAACAAAATCGGCAAGTGCAACGAACACATAACTTCCTACAAAATGTAATAACCAAATAAAATCACAGCAACAAAACCTAAAAAAAACCAAAGGAGAACGGAACGGGTCTCTCTTCATCTTCCCCAACCCGTTCTCCTCCTCTATTGAAATCGCGATCGCTCTAGGTTATTGTTGTGATTGAAAAACTCTTTTTTTGTTTGTTGATGAATCTAATTGATCCTGAATCGGATTGGCTTGTAAACATAGCCAATTCTTGGTGTTTTTCTAAGCCGATTGTTAGGTTTAAATCCAATTTTGAAAATGGATTCTTCTCAAGGTTCCAAGTTGGCTGGTTTGGTGCAGAATGCATCCGTTAAGAGGGATGGGTCTAGTTTGGATCGTGTTCCTGTTTATGTTAAGGAGTTGATTGCTGGTGGATTTGCTGGTGCTCTTGCTAAGAGCTCCGTTGCACCTCTAGAACGGGTCAAGATACTCTGGCAGGTAAACTGCATTTTTCCATTTCCTTCCTCTTTCTTCCATTAATTTGTTTTTGTCTGAGAGTCTAATGGCGGAATTTCAGCCTTTAATTTGTTTTTGTCTGATAGTCCAATTCCTTCATGCAAAACTATCAACTGAGAATTTTTACTAACATGATTTAGGGATCATATTCCACCCTTTATATTTCGATAATGGGAAATGTGTGAATTACTTGTGATGGAAAATGTATGATGATATTCTTTATTTAGAGAAGTTGAAATTGATTCTGTGGGCACAATTGATTCAAGTGGGTGTCAAACTGTCAATCAGTTACTGCTCTTTGATTTGTTTGCCTCTTGCTGGATTCTTGAAGTTTTTGATTTGCAATCCTTGGAACTTCTCATTCATCAAGTGACGATCAGAGCTTATTGCCCCTGTCCTGTTTCAACCTCCCTGTACTAGAGCCATTTTCAGGCTTTTAAGGTTTACTTGTTGTCTATTGCCTAATGTTAGTAATAGATAAATCAATAATCAATAGTGGTGTTTCTTTCTTTGTACCTTATTTTCTCCAAGACTGTGTGTTCATCTTTGAGGCTTGTAATAGTGATATATAAGGCTTGACTGTTAGTATTGTTGTTGTATGTGCATAACCTTCATTTCTTTTTTTCTTTTTTTCCAGACTAGGACCGGAGGATTCCATAATCTTGGTGTTTACCAATCTATGAATAAGTTGCTAAAGGATGAAGGGTTTCTAGGATTATATAAGTAAGACTCAAATTACATGATTATATGATTTTTCTTTTTGGTTTACAATGCATGTGCTGTTAACCTATGTGTATGTGTTGGTTTTAGAGGAAATGGAGCTAGTGTTATCCGGATTGTTCCATATGCAGCCTTGCATTTTATGACATATGAGCGGTATAAAAGTTGGATCCTTAACAATTACCCCATTTTAGGAACGGGTCCTTCTATTGATCTTTTAGCTGGCTCGGCAGCAGGGGGGACTTCAGTTTTATTTACATACCCCTTAGATCTCGCCCGTACCAAACTTGCTTATCAGGTAGGATTTATTTTAAACATGTTTTAACCTTTGAAAAAGACTTGGTTGAACCTCTAATACAAAAACATATCCTATATGAGAAATGCTAGCATGTAACACCATACTTTTTATCCAATAGACTACCTTACATTGGGGTAAACTCGTGAGTCTCGCCAAATTTATATGGAGTTCACACTATTTAGTGGGACCTACTTCAAAATGGTGAGACTTGTTTGAATTTCAATCAATAGGAAAGTGTGTTTTGAGTATACTGATATCTTATATAGTAATGAGAATCTCTTATTTTCCCTTCCGTTATTTTGTCTTGTCATTTAATCCTAATTAGTTCAAAGGAACATTGTACGACTAGTATAAACAAGATTAGTAAAAGAGTGATTTTAAATATTAAGTCTCCCAATTCAAAATAGGGACTAAGAAAAGATTAATGTAATTGAATGCTTCAGCATGCTTTAACATGAGAGACTGAAACAACATGGTTCACATACACACAATATGAAATTTTTGGATTATTAGTTTGGTTTAATTTGTAATTTCGTTGAGGAACATGTCATGTTTTTTCAAATTATTTGGTAGTTGGGTGTAAGAGATAGGTCATTTTCCATTGTTTGAGGTGAAACTGTACCATGTTCCGTTTATACATGTATGCTTTGGTGGTGAGAGGGATATTCTTTGAGGGAAAAGTTGCAGGCAAATTTTCAATCTCATTATAACTCTTGTTTTTGTTGTTTTGCATAATTTTACAGTTGGTGGACACAAAAGTATGTATCAAAGATGGTATTAAAGGAGTTCATTCTCAACCAATAGGTCCTGTACATAATGGGATTAAAGGTGTACTTACGAGTGCCTATAAGGAAGCTGGAGTTCGTGGACTTTATAGAGGTGTAGGTATGTGTCCCAGTGTTTCCCAATACAACCTTCATGCATAGCAATCATAATTGGTTCTTGTTAGAATTCTTGCTTGTGGAACATATGTTTCCTTATAGCATGTCTCAGCTAGCAGCTCTTGCATTTTACCACTGTATCCAATATATTTAGTACATTCCTTGTGAATCTCACCTTTGTCTTTCATTAGGTCCTACACTCACTGGAATTCTTCCATATGCCGGTTTGAAGTTCTATACTTATGAGAAATTGAAGATGCATGTTTCTGAAGAACATCAGAAGTCCATTTTTATGCGCCTTTCTTGTGGAGCTCTTGCTGGATTGTTTGGGCAGACTTTAACATACCCTTTGGATGTTGTTAAGCGACAAATGCAGGTGCTGTAGCTTTTAAATATTTTTTCCTTGGTTCATTTCTAGTTTTACATCTTTTTTTTTTTTGTCGATATGGACTCCTATGTTGCATTAGCATGCATTCATTCCCTTTCTGGAGGTTTTGCTCATATTTCCTTTGTGCAGGTTGGGAGCTTGCAAAATGCAGCTAACGGAGATGCCAGATACAAGAATACATTAGATGGACTCAGAAAGATTGTTCGAAATCAAGGGTGGAGGCAGTTGTTTGCAGGCGTGAGCATTAACTACATAAGGGTAAGGCTCACTTTATCATATATCCAACTTTATGTTAGCTTTGTTTTAGACTACTTTTTCACAGATGAAGTTTTGCTTTTGCTATTTTAACGTTCATAAGCAGATCAAAATGCACCAAAATTACTCTATTCACTATTTTGGAATATATCAATCACCAAACTTTTATATAACACACTGCTCTGTTTGAGAGTGAAAGTGAACAAAAATTTATTAGCCGTATAATTGGTTTTCATAAAATAGCTTGAATAAATTGGATTGGAATTTGATGTCATTGTATTATAGTGGTAGATAGTAGTAGACGTTTTATAAATATGGCAAGTCAATTAGTAGCCCATAGATGTTATATGTCGAGAAAGCTTCACCCTTGGCCCGTGAATATTTTAAGTTAACATACACGTGTAGTATGGGGCAACGGTTAGGAACTATGCAAATTTCTTGTTGATGAGCAAAAATAACAAATTAACAATAGAGATTGGCCAATTATGCTTAGTCTCCGGGCAGAGTAGACCTCTTTTAATAAAAGGGAAATATACAAAGCATTTAAGAACATTCACACTCTCACAAAACCCACAACCTAGTTTTCTTCTTTAAATGTTTCTCACAATTCCTACATAGGAAATTTTTTTCTTTTCCTCTACCATGTGAAATTTGCTATTTGTTGGAATTTCGCTCTTATATTTAAAAATGAAAGAAACACATCTTTTACCTTTCTCTCTCCATTCATTCCCTCCTTCAAGTTCTCTGGAACATCGTTGTACCTTCCTTATATGTACTTGATGTTTATTTTCTTTTATCTCTTTCTTCTTTGTTGACCAACAATCTCTCATTTGAAGACCGGTTTCAGTGGATCTTCACACCTCGTTTATACCATTATCGGTCTGTTATTCTAGCAAGCGAACTGAGCATGTTGATTGTCACCGTCTTTGTTAACATGTCTGTTGAGTTCTCACTTCATTGAATTTTGCTCAATGTTAACACTTCATCTCAAGCTGGGATTTAATGAAGTGATAATGAAGATCAACACGCATGCTGAATTCTTTACCAAAAGTATCGAAGTCTGACTATCACCCTTTAAAACACTTTTCTACTATGTGAAATTCAATTGTGTTAACAATCCTTGAAGCCATATCAATTTTTTGTTAATCTTTTGTATCTGCGATATCGAACTAACGACACCAGTACCACCGGTAAATATATAACCGGTTGTACTTCTTTAGAGTTCAACATCGCTAACAAATTGATACGACTTCAATCGAGTTGAGTTTCACAAAGGAGAAGAGTATTTTGTACGATGATACTCAAAGTGCAATACATTTGACAAAGAATTTAGCATTCCATTTGAGAACAAAGCACAATGGTCTTCGTAATCACTTCATTAAATCTTAACTTGAGAATGACATAACTTTGGGCAAGATTCAAGGAAGTGAGAACCCAACATACATGTTAACAAAAGTGGTGACAATCGATATGCTAGAGTAACAATATGAGAAAGGATGTTGTATGAAAAAGGTGTGAAGATCGATTGAAATCGATCTTCAAGTGAGAGATTGTTGGTCAACAAAGAAAAAAGAGATAAAAGAAAAAAAAAATCATGTAGAAATAAGAAAGATACAAGGAACTAGGTTGTTAATCACGGATAGTGGCGCAACTAGGTTGTTAATCTCGGATAGCGGCGCGTGGCGCCAAACCCCCAAAACGCTATAGCGGATAGCAGGATGACCGCTATTGTGAGCTTTAAAAAACCAAGGTAAATATTTGACACGAATACATAAATACTTAAAATAAGTTTCAGCAACATATATAATGCCTTAAAAACAGAAGTTGCAACAACATACATAACTTCCAACAGCACCACAAAATATGTTCCCGTCAAAATCAAATTATAAATTTGCTCAAAATGACAAATTCTAAAAGTAAACAAAATGACTAAATTACATTCCCCTCATATTGACTTCTAGGTTCCACCACATTAAAATCATCTTGCTCATCGCATGATTCAATTTCAAACACTTCTTCTACCTCCAACTCCTCACCTTCATTAGACACTAATGTAGCAATTCTAGAATGATGTCTAGTAACTCTTGCTGGTTTATTAGCCCCAGCAGGATTGCCAACAGCTTTCCAAGTCAAACCCTTTTCTCCCAAAACCAAATCATCTTCCAATATTTCATTTTCATCCTCATTTTGTTGCAACCATTCATAACATTCATCGATATTGTTGAGGAGAATAAGAGCAGTTAAATCATTGCTTTGAAAAAATTTATGTTTGTTGGAAGTTTGTGCTAATATTGTCACCAATAGTTTTATAAAACCTTTGTTGTTGGAAGTATAGTTTAAAAAAAAAAACCTTTGTTGTTGGAAGTTTGTGTTAAACTTGGAGAAGATGATGCCATAGTGGCTAGTAGATGAGAAATCTGCAAAACAGGGGAGAAATAGATGTGAATGGGTGAGAAAGTGAAGAAAAAGATTAATATGTAAAGAGGAATGTGGAAGAATGGATAAGAAAGATGGATGCTTGCTGACTTGAAAAGAATAATGAAGGAGAAAGATGTATGCTTCTTGAGTTGAGAAGAATGTGGAAGAAGAAAATTTGCAAAGAGAGAGAGGACAAATTTGTGAAGAAAAAGTGCTTTATTGTTTTTGCCCTTATGCAAATCTGACTATGGGAAATTTTAGGTACTTTTCCAACAACTTAGGACAAAAGAGGCCTCTAACTTACTAGTTAAGGTCAATAATTTTAGTTTTAGGTCATGTGTTCAAATCCTAGAGGCTTCACATTATCTTATTAATGCATATTTATTTATTTATATTATAATCTCAGACTATATTTAGTGTTTCTTAACATTAAAAGTAATATTTGTTTTAGGCCTAAAAGAAAGTTGGGCCACTAATCCTATTTGATAGCAATTGTTTTAGTTAGGAGAAATTAACCTGTCACCCCGAACTTCCCCAAGGTTTATTGCACCCTCTAAAGTTTTTTAATTTTAAAACTGCCTTGAAAAAAATTTATATTAAAAAAAATTTCTGGAAAAAACTATGAAGAATACCGGAATTTTCAAAATTTTCGATTTTTTTTTGCACTAGCGGAAGTTTCGAAATTTCTCAAGTATTGTTTCGGAAATTTCCGATAGTGTAAAAAAAAATTCATATTTTTTCTGGAAATTTCGAAATTTCTAGTAAAAAAAGGAAAGTTTTGGTATTCTTCATTTTTTTATCGGAAATTTCAAAAATTCCAGTAAAAAATGGAATTATTCCAAAATTTCTTGTACATATTGCAAAATTCCGATAAAAACATGTAAATTTAATAGTAAAAGTGTTTTAAATGAGGATGCCCGGTAAAAGTGGGGGTGTCAAATTAATTGTTCTTTAGCCATGGACCGAAAAGAATGGTTTAAGTGAATAGTGATAGTTTTCTTTGGCAATCTTCAGAAACTGGATAAATTATGCATTGGGTTTAGAATCTTATGTTTTTGGTACCATTTAAAATTTGAAAAGCACGACCATAATACATGATCTTTTATGTTTTGACGTGTTCCTGAAACTTTTTATCAAAATTCCTTATCATTTCATTGGAGGCAACTGTGTTTTATTTTTGTTCTTGAATGTTCCCAGATTGTTCCTTCAGCTGCAATTAGTTTCACCACATATGACATGATGAAGGCATGGCTTGATGTACCACCCCAACAAAGGTCTAAATCAGTTTCGGCAGGATAGTTTTAGGTGCTTGCTCGTGATGGCAAGAATTTACCTCTACTGACTTCATATTTACAGGAATGTCTCCTATAGAAATGACCACTAGTCTTATTTTTTTAGAGGAACCATTGTGAATAAAGTAATCAATACTCTAGTTTGATTATTACATCATCTGGAGAGTTACAGCAACTGCTACTTCATTTTTTTGAAATTTATGACTGTAACTTGTAGATTTGTTAGAAACTCTGTATGCAAAATCGCTGCTTAATATTACCTCTAGTCCAAATTATAAGTTATTTTGTAAAAAATAAATTATTCTAAATTATAAGTCACTTTAGAATTCCAATACAACATTGACTTATTTTTCTAATATAGTCTTTATCATTTATTTTTCTCACTAATGTCTTTTGTAACTTTATTTTTTGTTGATAATGAATATCTTTGTAACTTTTTTTTACTCTTGATCCGCGGAAAGCAATATTGACCACTTTGTATCACTCTTTGTTTTTTTATTTTAATGTGGCCATTTATTGTCAGTTTCTCAAATTTAAATTTCAGTTTCATGTAACCAATGAAATAATAATGGGAGTATTATATGTTTGGTTGCATATTGTCATTGGATTCCTAGGAACGTGTACAGGAACAGCCTAGCAGTTGCGGACATGAATGCTTCGCTATTCTCGAAAACGCAGGATAGAAATAAGTACTTGCTGGTCACCTTATTTTGAATTCCAAATTCATGATAAATTAGAATACGATAAAAAGAATGAGCCAAATTGTACATTTTTCAGATTTTTACTTTATTTGTTGAACTTGTCGTTGTTCTGTGCTGTATCCACAGGAATGCTCCTCGAAACCAAAGAAGAAAGACAAAATATACTAATCAATGGTCCTTTAATTATTGATACAATGTGGTGTCAAACACTAATGAATGAAGGACAATCAATTTACTCTCATTAATTTAAGATAGCCCACTGCTCTGCTATATTTGGTTCCCAAAATAGGTGAAATGAGAGGAAAGGAAATGTAATAAATGAAAAAAATATACTCCTTTCATACATTTTTTTTATAATATACCTAACCATTATCCCCACTCCCTGCATTTTCTATAAATTGAATATTATACCTTTGTATAAAAAGGATAAGTTTGAAATTTTTGTTTTGTTTTGAAGTTGTCCAGTCATGTGTCCGGACCGGAGTTGAGAAAAATAAAACAAAGTCTTGGTATTGGAGATTTTGCATTGAAGTTTGCATTGAAGTTGTTTGGTCCATTCAATTTTTTTGAGATCTTGCATTAAAATTATTTGATTCAAATATAAATATTACTATATAAGATGTTTGTATCTAAGATGTCTGATCTAGAGGTGACAATTGAATCCATTAAGACAAAATTCATTCAATCCATCTATTTTACCACTTCAGTCTAATCTACTCAATTTTTAATGTTGTTCTTGTGAGAACTTAAACCTAAAAATATTAAAGATCAAAAGTTTAATATTAAAGACATTCGATGGTCAATTTTACTTTACAAAATGTTAATTTTTAGGCCATGGTCTTAAGTAGAGTCATTCATTGTTGTTTTTTTTTATTTTTATAATGTGTCTAATTTTTTTTATTGGTGCGTAGTCGAAGACGCATCTAAGGTTATTTCATGTGGAGGTCTACGGAAATGAGCATTACAAGTTCAACAAACAATAGAGATGCACAACAAAAGCAGGAAGGTGGACATGTGGAGCAGTTACGTCATTTTCTAGGAGGTCGTACGACACGTTTATTCTAATATAGTATGATAAGCACATTGCTCATCACTTATGGTAAGAAATTATTTTTATTAAGTTGAATAATGTTAATTTTAATTCTTATTTATATTTTAAATTGTTTTCAAGAGCGAGGACCGAAGAAATAACTTATGATTGCAGTTGATGAGAGTGAGCTGATAGAGTATCTTTACTATAGATAACCATTAAAAAGAATCCTGATGACAACTTGGTATATGCTTTTGTTGAGAGATGACATTTGAAGACACCAAACATCACGATTTAACATAAAAGACATGCAAAACAAGATTCTCACATATCAACTTCAAATTCACACATATGACAAGTTCCATAGTTCTTATTAAATATCGAAAGTTTGAACTCACGTTCTTACATAATATCTTAGCACGACTACTAATTGAATTGGTTTAATGGAACTATTACTAATGTCTTTTATTAAAAAATATTTTTTTTTACTAATGTCTTTTATTAGAAAATAATTTTTTTTCTTTTTTTTCATATAAGAAAGAAACTGAACTTTTAGTTCCATTCTAATTTTTCTCAAAAATAGTTTTAAAAAAAGGGCATTGATAATTTATCTTGGAAATCTGGAATTGTGCATGCCGCGTCAGTAATAAAAGAGCGGTAGATCTCAACTCTACCGTGCTTTTTGTTCGTAAAAACATGCTAGATCCTCTTGTCCCATACAACCATCATTTTCTCTCTTTTTTCCACCAAACTTTCCCTCTCTTTTTCCCTCAGTACCTATCTCACTTTTTCCAACTACTGCACCCCAAAACCAAAACGTTTCGTTCCTTTCCATACACTTTACATTTTTTTATTATTATCTTCACCCCACCACTCTAATGGACCCCACAAACTCAAAATTTAAACCGCTAACCTGACGTGGCGGTTCCAATTCCAACACAACAACTTGCGGGCCCACAACCTTATTTCCCTTCCTTTGTCCGTTGCACGTTTTTTGAATTTCAAATCTCCAAAACACCCACGATTGCAAACAAACCCTTCTCTTTCTCTCTCCATCTCTATCTCTCTACTTTATTACACTTCATTCAAAGACAAAATCTATCAGTCATTCACCACATTCTCAACCTAAGCTCATGGGTGCTTCTGGAAAATGGGTGAAAGCATTAATCGGACTCAAAAAACACGACAAAGATGAACAACATGTATGTTCTACTACTACTACTACTACTTGTTACAAACATTGCATATAGTTTGACTTTTTTTCGTTAATGTTTGAAGGTGAAGGAGGGTGTGAAGAGTAAGAAATGGAGGTTATGGAGAAGTTCATCTGGTGATAACGCTTCCTGGAAAGGCTTTAAAGGTAACAACCATCACAAAGCAGTTTCTGAAGGTTCTGAATCTCCAACTGCAGCAGAAGCTTACACCGCCGCTGTAGCCACCGTTGTTAGAGCTCAACCTAAGGATTTTCGACTCGTTAGGCAAGAATGGGCTGCTATCAGAATCCAAACCACCTTCCGTGCCTTCTTGGTATTCACTTTTTTATATCTATTTTAAGGTTTATGTATTTTAGAGGCTTTGAATCTGGTGTTTATGTGTATTATTGAACTGTTTGTTGGGAGAAACTTTGTTTGTAATGAATGTAAGGGTTGTTTGTTGTTTTGTGAGTGCAGGCAAGAAGGGCTTTGAGGGCTTTGAAGGCGGTGGTGAGGATTCAAGCTCTAGTTAGGGGTAGGCAAGTGAGGAAGCAAGCTGCCGTGACATTGAGGTGCATGCAGGCGTTGGTTCGTGTTCAGGCCCGAGTGAGGGCTCGTCGAGTGAGGATGTCTATGGAGGGACAAGCCGTGCAGAATATGCTTAATGAGCGGCGGACAAAGCTTGAACTTTTGAAGGATGCTGAGGTTTGTTTCATGAATCGACAATGGGAAGTTTACAAGTTTTTTTTAGTTTTGGTGGTGTTTAAGAAGTGTGTTTTATGTGTATATGCAGGAAGGGTGGTGTGATAGTATTGGAACATTGGAAGATGTGAAATCGAAAATTCAAATGAGGCAAGAAGGAGCTTTCAAAAGAGAGAGAGCACTTGCATACTCTCTTGCTCAGAAGGTAACAAATTTAGTTAGTAACAAATTGGGATAGTAAATTGCAATTTAGTCCTTGAAAAATGATTTTTTGTTTTAACATAATAGTCCTTTTAGATCGGTGAGTTTAGTCTCTGAAATTGTTTGTTAGAAGAAACTATTGTGACAACCAATTTTTGAGATGCTTACATATTCAAGATTTTTAGCAGCAATGTAGGCCAACTTCAAGCACTAATTCAAATACAACCGCCTCGTTTTCCTCTCTCAAGAATCCCGAGATGAACAAAGCTAACGGAGGATGGAGTTGGTTAGAAAGATGGATGGCAGCCAAGCCTTGGGAGACAAGATTGATGGAACAATCTCATGCTGAAAGCTTAGATAAAACACCTCCACCACCTCCGAAGAAATTTGCGGATCCCTTTGTAAGCTCTAATTCAAAACCATGCTCGGTCAATATCAAGAAGAACAATGTTACAACAAGGATTTCTGCGAAGCCTCCTCCCCACATTGGACAAGCTACTCGTTCGTCCTCAAGTCCAAGTTCCGAGTTTCGGTATGATGAGAGTTCTGCATCATCTTCTATCTGTACATCCGCAACACCAATGTCAGGGAACACTTACGAAAGGACTGAGGATAGTGGTAACAGCGCAAGGCCAAATTACATGAACCTAACGCAATCAACCAAGGCGAAGCTAAAATCGGGTAATAATCCAATGTATAGCAGAGCTCAAAGGCAACAGTCAATGGATGAGTTTCAGTTTATGAGGAGGGCTGCAGGTTTCTCTAATGGAGATTCTAGAAGTATAGCTGCTTCTGACCATTCACTCAACTTTTCTAGGCCACTTCACCTACCAACTTCCATGGATAAAAGCTCGGTGAGGCCGCGGTGAAAGAAGGAAATTGAAACAGCTCCATGGATGCTCAAGATCTGTTTATTTATTCGTTTTTCCCAGAAGTTCAACATCTTGTTGTCTGTTGTATTTTAATCCGAGTTAGTTAACTTAGCTTAGCTTCATGAAGAACCAGATGTAGCTTATGTTCTTGTCCTCCATTTGTATAATTGTTCATTTGTGAGTTTTGATTAATACTTGTTCGGAGAGTTTTCTGTATGAATCTTCAAATTTATGGGAAAATCACACTTTGTCAACACTATTTTTCATCTTATTTTGACTATTTATAAGCTAGAAAACCATAAAATAGTATCCTTTCATAAACTTACATTATTTTTGGTATATTACATAATTATTATTCATTACATATCTCATAATACTTATGTTTATATCTCATCCTCCCATATTCGGTTTATTTGAAGAGCTCGGTGCTGTTCTTTTTACGACTCTGAGCTTGACACCATGCTTGAAGTTAAGGACTATGCCATATTCGAGTTCTAAAGGGCTTTCCATGTTAGGTGAGTGCCGAAACAAGTATTTTCTGTATAAATGAATGAGCGAAAGCTTAATCTCTTGAAGGGAAAATTTTTGACCGATGCAAGCCCGAGGACCAATTCCGAATGGTATAAAAGCATAAGGGTGCCTTCTCTTCATTTCTTCACAGTTAGGATCAAATCTTTCTGGTTTAAACTTTTCTGGCTCTGAAAAGTTTTTTGGATCTTTTGCTAGAACACCAAGTGCTAACCAAACCCAAGTCCCCTGCTTGTACAAAACTACATTAGCGACAGATTTGAAGCATTGATGATCATGCAAAAAGAAACATGTTTTACCTTTGGGAGAAGGTAACCTCCGATTTCAACTTCACTCGATGTTTCTCTTGCAACTAATGGCGATACGATGTAAATCCTCATTGCCTCTTTGATCACCTGCATTAAATAAATAGAACATTATAAGTGTTAATTTCGATACACTCTCGAGAATTTTTTAGGATGTTCATTCAACTTAACTACCTGATCAAGATAAGGGAACTTGTCATGAAGATCTTGAGAAGTCGGTATCTGATCTATCGAACCAAACCCATCAATCTCTTCAAGCATTTTTTTCTCGACTTCTGGATGTGCAGCAACCAAATAGACAACAGAAGACAACGTAAAGGAAGTGGTTGCAGAACCAGCAAGCAAGTGTTCATAAGTAACAGCACTGATATATTCAGATGTGAACACATTCTCCGAAACAGCTTTTGATTCTCTAGCATTTAGTATAAGCGACAAGAAATCCTTTGAACTACGCGTTCTATCTTTTATTCTCTTGTCTACAATCTCATCGAGACGTCCGCCTAGTTTTCTGTTAGTACGTTCGATTTTCCAGTCCATAGTGCCCGGTATCCGCTTCAAAATCTGTCTAAACGGTTCTTGAAGAATCGGAACAAGTAAACCAAGTATGATAGAGAACGAACCCGACAAATCCATCTTAAGTTGAGTTGTCGAGTATATGTGTTGATTGATAAAATCTGTTACTTCATTATCACCAACATTCTTGATTTCGTTGCAAACAGAATGAGGCTCGGAGAGACCAAAGTTGACCCCGAACGCTGCTTGTCCAATCACATCAGTCGCGAGTTTAAGCGATAAATTAGAAAAGACAACATCTTCATCTTCCGAGTCAAGATTTTGAGTGGCAGATTCTATAAACGATTGCATCGTTGGCACTAATCTTGATAGATGTGACGGTTGATATACCGACAAAATCGTGTTTCTCATTGTAGACCATTGTGAATCCCTGCAGATCAAAATCAAAGTGGCATGAAACTGTTACAGAAAACATTGTGAAATGATATTTTGTAAACATCTGCCGACAAATAATGTAGTACTATATAGAAGACATATATGATTCTGACTCAAGTTTCTTGCCACTAACAGAAAAAGGTAAAGCAATATTCAAACTTAGTGGCTAGTCCACTGAGAAAAATGTAAAAAAACCATATACTATGAAACTTCATTTCATGTGATTCTATGTGCTTATGGATTTTATTCTGTAAGATGACAAGAACAAAAAGAAACATTATGGAATGTGAAATGTTACTTGGTGAAGAAGAGACCCTTTTGGTGAAGTGGAGAAGCTTTAATGGGAGATGGAGTACTTCTGTTTGAAATGTCTTTGAATTTTTTGATTCCTACTTCTTTACACAGTTCTGCATCTGCCACTATTATTAGTGGTTGTCTTCCCATATGAAATCTGCAGTAATAAATAATGGGAAAAATTAAATATAAATTTATTTTCAATTTCTTTTCTATTAGAAATTGTATATTCTTTACGAGCATAGACTAATTTCTCAAATAAAAAGCGACTATTAAAAGTAGAAAAATCTTCTCTCTCAAGAGAATTTAACACTGGTGTGTGTCCGGGGTCATTTCAAGTTTTAAATTTGTTAGATACATTTAAAAAATAAAATAAAAGAGTGTAATGAAAAAAACATTATTTGTTATCCTCTTTCTTTGATTATTTTTACTTTTGAGGTTTTTGTGGTATCATGAGTTGAGAATTTTCTTGCTTGGAGGGACACTGAATTATTGATATTGCAGAAACTTAAAGGCTAAAGCCACTTTTTAGTCACATTCAATTTTTAGAAACAACAATGTATTTTTCAGTAAGTTAATGATTCACCAAATGAGTTCAGAATATGATGATCACAAACTCTAATTATTGAGAATTGTATGATTTCGAATAGTAATAATGATACTAGTCTTTCTACCTCTTTCCATGGGTCCCATTTTATTTTTTTTCATAATTTTTTTTGCCTTTTGGTGTGAAGATATACAAAGTAGTAAAATTTTCCTATTAAATATATTGATGTTTGGTTGAATAATTTAAATCTAGGAATTGAGTTTAATTAGTACTTCATTTAAACTAAGTTTAACCATTTCTTAAGAAAATAAATTTAAAGGCATAATTAGTCTGGGTGTATATCTCATTTTTTATTTATGTTTTTTTTAATCATAAATTCATGCACACAAATGTCAGGTCAGGTTCAACCTAACAATAATTTTATCTAACAAATGATCTAAGATTTGTTTCGATGGACAAATTTTAGCCGACCAATTGAAACCGATTGATATGTTATATTTTTTGTGTAAATAGATTGGATTGAGTGTCAGTTTAATTCAGTTGTTTAATTTAAATAATATATGATTACTTCGATCGGACTCAAATATTTAATTTGGATCCAACGAAAATTAAAATTGACCAATTTAATTAATATATATTTTTTATTACATGAGCGACTCACTATAAAATGAGATTCATAATATTACAGAATATTATCATTTTTATAATTTAATGATGGTATTGTGTACTCATAAAAATATAAGACATGCAATATAAAATTTTGATTATTATTTAATTTATAATTTAAAGTATGATAATGATCAAAATTAATGTCAAATAATATTGAAAATATTAAGAATAGTTCTATTCTAAAAAATTTAAAAAATATTTTTTTTATAGGTTTATTCTAATAAATACTAAACCGATTAAACCAATTCGATTAAACTGCCAAATCGATTTAACTGAATTCGACAAAATTAAAATTTTCTCAGCCAAAATTAGACCATAAAAATAAAACTGCAGTTTACGCCAGATTTAAGTTTTTAACTCAAAATTGACCTTCAACTCAAAATTGACTGAATCCAACCGATTGTCCAGCCCTAATATCACATGACCCTCCTTAATATTAAGGAATTTAATGGCTGAAGTGAAAGATTGTTTTATGTAACAAATGTTAGTTTAAAATAAATTATGATGATGGTAAGATGTGTGATAAAATTAAAAGTGACAATACTTTTAAGTATTGGAATAACATTTATAATTAAAAAAATAATGGAAAATAGGTTTAGATAATATATATATATATATATATATATATATATATATATATATATATATATATATATATATATATATATATATATATATATATATATATATATATATATATATATATATATATATATATATATATATATATATATATATATATATATATATATATATATATATATATATATATATAAAAGACTTATAAATATAAGGAGATCATATCAAATGGAAAAGAAATTAAACAATTAAAGATAAAAAGAGACTTTAAAAAATTATGAAAAAAAGTATAAAGGAATAATTTAAAATTAATGAATTGGATAAAAAAGACAGTGTTTATTAGAAGAAGTTTTAATTCATACCAATCAACCTCATGAAAAAAAATAAGTTTTTTAATTGTAAAATACTTCTTCATGTTCTAATTATAAAAAAGTTTAATTTTATAATAATTATATATATGAATTCTATATAAATCTGATATATTAATTAATTATTTAATAAATTTAAAAATCAAAATTTTCCCTTATACATAACAAGGACTGGAGAACTATTAATTTTTAAAATATAAGATAATTACAAAGATTACTTTTCTTATTAAGAATTAAAAACAAGTTATGTATCTGCAAATCTTAACACATAGATTGGACGTTTTTTTCCTTCTCATTAATCCGAGAGTCAAGTCAAACAAAAAAATATCCTTGGTAGATCAGCAAACAATGCTTAATTGGTATAAGAAAACAAACCAAAAAAACAAAACAATCAGCTTATTTTAATATATAAGTCGAAACGGCGTTGACCAATAGGAAAATAGACAGAGACATAAATCAATAAAATATTTTATTTTTAATAAAATATAGTTGTATGTAATTATCAGTTGAGCTGATTTAATGGAATAAATATATTAATTATTTAATATATGTAAATTGTGATATCAAGAAATAAAATACATAGATGAAAGTAAAGAAACCTGTAGATTGGACCATATTGCTTGGCAAGTATTGAGAAAACATCTGGACCATGTTTAGCAAGCAAATGAAGGTGTCCTACCAACGGCAGTGATGGTGGGCCTGGAACCTTTCTCACTCTCCAATATGGCCCATACAGATAAATGAACCATCCTCCAACTA